ATATAATTAAAAAAATAATATAGTTTTATTATGCACATAATATCATAAAATACTAAGAAAAAAAGATATAAAGAATATAAAGTGATACAAAGGAAAAGTATTTCAAATAAAATATTTATGTTCAAATATGATATATTTAAATAGTCTAGTCTAAAAAAGAAAACAATTGGTAACTAGTTAATTAAATCGTGACATTTTTAATGTATTGTCTTGAAGTTTAAAATAAATCTAAAGCTAGTAATTTAGAAAGGAAAAAACTGCCACTGGGTATTTTCGTACGTTGTCAAATTGTGATAAAACCATTTGACCATTGATGTTTTTTAAACATATTTTAAATAGAGTGGAATTTAAAAATAATGAAATGAACTTATTGATACATTTCTAGATACCTAAGAACAATAGCATACACCGTTGAACGAAATATTAAAATAAGTTAAATAATATTAATAATCCCACCATGAAAGATGGTAATAAAAAGTTTGTTAAAAAATATATTTTCGATATTGTAATATATTTTCATTCATATATAGTAGTATACTGTAAAAAATATCTAAAACGTTTTAATACAGCGGACCTTATACTAGCTGGTAATTACTCTTGTTATTTAATATTTTAATTTGATTCGCCTTATCCTGATCATCGTTACCGTCGTTTAGACGTCGTTTGCATAATAATAATTAATGTCTTATTAATATTCAGCAGAATGAACAGGTAAATAAGCTGACAGAATACGAGTATTACATATTATATAAATAATAGTAAAAAATCTGGGAAATCAAATATCTACATACCAATAATAAAAACAGAACTAGGGAATTGAAGAAATCATGATCCCGATTTTTTGTAACTACAGCCTTAATGTACATATCCGATAGCGGATTCTAAATTATATCTAAACTTTTATCTCATGATCTAAAATATTTTATGTTTCTATTTTACTTTTTGGCATTAGGGGCGGATCCATGCAGCCAATAAATATTTATGTTGTTTTATAATTTAACAACTAAAAATAAAAACGTCATAATGTATAATAACGTCAATTTTGAAAAACCTGTTTATTCCTAAAATACTTTTTATTAACGAAGATTATGCTAAATTAAGGTCTTTCGACAAGCGACGAAATTATCATTTTACTCGTATTAACAGAAGATTAATGTGTGAGCCCTTCTATGAAACGGAGAATTAAACAGAAAACTATCAGCAATGAAAAAAAGTAGTAAAAAGTAGTCAAAAGTGTCAAAAGAATTTGGATTATAATAAAATATTTTATTGTTTTGACTGTGTAAGAAATTAACACTTAACATCAGCGTTAATAAAACTTAATTCTGTTACTTAGGAATTATTTATTAAAATTAAGTCTCCGAATTTAGGGGTAACGAAATAAGTAAGGAATATTACGAGTTTTTATTCTCATAAAATACAATGTTAACCACACTGCACCAGGTAAGTTACAGAATAGAGGGAAATTGTTACTATTAAAAGTCAACTTTTGCTTAGCAAAATTCACCTTGGTAACAGCAGGGTATGCTTGGGAATACGGTATACAATTCAGATAAAAGGTATCTCGTCAGGATAAGGATCAAGATGACTCCAGATCGTCCAACTCGTTTCTAAACATCTTACCGTTAAAGTAGGTAGAAAAAGCAAAGAAGTTATGATATTTTTGTTGACATACAGTGTGCAATACAAGATTATGGGTAAACCAAAATTAAAAATTAAAACAAGACTAACTTTAATAATTGGAAATTTATTCAATCAAAATATAAGTTAATTAAAAGTAATGGATGAAAGACTGATGAGATAATTGAAATTTTTACCATCAATCAATATAACTTTTCATTGTTGTATCTTCGAAAATATCCGTAATTAACCCGGCAACTGTGTTGTGGGGTGAAAATAACCCACGTCGTTCATTACCGCTTGTTAAAATAGTGGCAACATCGCCAGATTCGTCTGGCGCCACGAGTACCTTCCCATAATATAACAGACCTTGTATTGCATCATAAATTTCAGTATATAAATAAGATTTGAATGAGTGGTGTCGCCTTCTTTGGACTTGTGGGTGATTTTAACCCCACCACACAGTTGAAGTGCAGTATTATTTAGTTTTTGGGTAATTTTAACCCCACAACACCGGTTAATTATTAACAGGTAAGTTCTTATACTAGCACAACTTATCTCGATTTTTTTAACAGAAACATAATTTAATTGTTAGGAATATTGAAAATTGATTAGATATTCTTAATTTCAGACATATCGAAATATGTGTAGTTGGGAGAAAGAACAAGAAGCTCTCTTGAAGCTTTGGCAGGATGAATTAACTGGATCAGAGTTAGGATCAGAAAGCGAATCTGAAAATGAAAGTCAGCAGGTTAGCCTTAGTTCCAGTGAGGATGTTTTACAAAACCAACTTCAATCAGTGGAAAATTGTCAGCCTGGAACTTCTAATCAGGAAAGTCAATCATCGTCGGAAGAATCTTCTCAAGACAACAATAAGTTTGAAGATGATAAAGTAAGACAATCTAAGTTTTTTATCGGACGGGATGGGAAAACAAAATGGTCAAAGAACTGTCCTAATAAATCGGTTAGAACACGACAAGAAAATTTAATTACTTTACTTCCCGGTGTTCGAAATAATGCAAAACATTGCAAATCACCCATTTCTTGCTGGGAATTATTCATGGATAATATTATTGTAGAAGATATTGTCCAATGCACTAATAAAAAAATCAGTTTAGTCGCTCAGAATTATAATGACCAACATAAATATATCACCAAGCCTACGGACGCAGAAGAAATTCGTGCAGTTTTCGGATTACTATATCTATCAGGCGTTTATAAAGCCAATAGGTTAAATCTGGAGGATCTTTGGGCTACAGATGGAACAGGAATTGACATTTTCAGGCTAACAATGTCCCTGCAAAGATTTATATTACTTTTAAAGTGCCTACGATTCGATAATATCGAAAATAGAGACGAACGAAAAAGAGTAGATAAACTGGCAGCTATACGAGCTGTTTTTGATCGATTTGTATCCAATTGTCAACAATATTTTATTCCTAGTCAATACTTGACGATCGACGAAAAATTAGAATCTTTTCGGGGACGTTGTTCCTTTCGGCAATATATCCCCAATAAGCCGTCCAAATATGGCATTAAAATATTTGCCTTAGTGGATGCCAAAACATTCTACATTTTAAATTTAGAGGTATATGTTGGCTCACAGCCTGAGGGACCTTTTCAATTTAGTAATAGACCGTTTGATGTAGTAAACAGGCTTGTAAATCCAATTCGTGGTACTAATCGCAACATTACATTCGACAACTGGTTTACCAGCATACCGCTAATGGAACATTTGCTTAGTGAACATCGGTTAACATCTGTTGGAACTATTCGTAAAAACAAGAGGGAAATACCGACAATCTTTTTGAATTCCAAAAACAGAGCTGAAAACCACGCAATTTTCGGATTTAAAAAGACATTTCTTTGGTGTCCTTTGTCCCGAAGAAAAATAAAATAGTGTTAGTAGCTTCTTCACTTCATCATGATACAGAATTTGACCACAAATTAAATAAACCTGAGATTATAGACTTTTATAATCACACAAAAGGTGGAGTGGATATGGTTGACGAAATGTCTGCGTTATATAATGTGTCTCGTAATAGCAAGCGATGGCCACTAACAATTTTTTTTTCGCTGCTTAATAATGCAGGAATAAATAGTTATGTTATTTATCAACATAACAAGCCAAATGAAAAACTAAAACGCAGATTTTTTTTAAAACAACTTGGTTTGGCACTAATTAAACCATATATTGAAAAAAGAGGTAATAATCAAAGAATACCATCAGACATAAGAGCGAAACTAAAAAGAAATGACAGCGGAGAGGACTCTCAAGGACCTTCAAACAAGAAACAACGAACAACATCCAGATGTGGAGTGTGTCCCCGTGGAAAGGACAGAAAGTGCCAAAAGAAATGTGTAAAATGTGACATTTTTCTTTGTCTTGAACATTGTGTATATTTTTGTTCTAAATGTGCAAATAATTGTTAATTATGCTTTTTAAACAAAAGATCATAGTTACTTTTTATAGAATTTGTAGTTTTTTTTTATTCTATATCTCTAATAAAAATTTTATTAACAAAAATTGTGGTAGTGGTTTAAATATCAACTAAATTTTAGTATATTTTTTGAATCGTTGAATTATTAACGAAAATTTTTAAAATGATTTAACTTTGAAAAAGATTATATAACAATATAACCATGATTTAAAATCTTAAGGTTGCATGTAAAAATAAAATATTTTCTCAATTTTATAAATAAAAAAAAAATGGGGTGATAATTACCCCAACACACAGCTCCTGTTAGAAAATTTCACCACACAGTCGCCGGGTTAAGTAGGTATATCGTATAATATTTTCCTCAAATTTTAGAAATATTTTTAGGATTCCTGATGTATTTTCTTTATTTTATCCTTTATTATTATGTTTTAATGTAATAAAAAATATATATTTTCAAATGTTACAAGCGGCTTTATATATTCATTATTTATGATCTTTTCCTTTTTAGACTAAATTTTTAAAAAAAATCTTCGACTCTTAGGTTAAAAATCTAACTAATGGAAAAGCTATGGAATTTAAATTCTCTATATAGCATATTGCTTGGAGAAAATTTTTATAAATATTATTTGTTGTTTAAGATGATAGCCTATATTAACAACTATCAGCATTTAAGCATTTTAGCTAAACTTTATTAAATAGTATATTTATTACTCGACTTGGTATGATGTTTAACACCATTTAAGATAGTACGGGTTGGGAAAAAAGTAAGTTAATAAAGCTTTGATTTTATAGATTTCTTGCAAATTTATCAAAAATTTCATAGCTTTTCCAAACAAACGCTTCAATAAAAAAATAAACGCAGCTGACGTCCTAGAACAACAAGAAGGAGACCCGAGTTCGTCTCGAGTCTCCCTTGTTGCGCCGGGACATCCCCATTTGTCATAAACTTTGATCCGAGCCTGTAGCTCCTCCACCCTTATTATCTCCGCTCGCACCGCCAGCACTGGAAGATCCTCCCTCTCCACCTGAGCCCCTGCGAGCTCCAGCGCCAGATCCACGGAAGTCCAGTTTATACTAAACAGAAATACATTTATAAATTAACAAGAATAAGAAAAATAAATGAATGGAACTATTTTTTAATAGTTTGTGTTTACATATAAGAATATAGTCAACTATTTTAGTTTAAAAGCACTGGATCTGCGGCATTTCATTTTACCCATATCTATCTATAGAAAGAGCAGTCAATCATGATATTTACCTCTATACATCTATCATTATGATTTATATACTTGGTGAACATTTTTCTGTGAGCTTAAAAAATATTTATAAAAAATGTGTTATTTATAATAAATATTTATAATAATTAGTTTTTATAGCTATCTTCTATTTTGCAATGCAATATTGTTTCTTTTTATTCGAATTAAATTTAAATGCAATATAATGGCAGTTATATTTAAAATTGGTGCTTGATATTTTTTTTTTCACATACTTAAATTCTTAGATATCCTTCGAGAATATCTTTATATTGTTGTTTTATTATGTATTTGACTTTTTTTAATATCCGATGTTATGTATATATATATATATATATATATATATATATATATATATATTGGGGCGGCCCGGGCATACACAAATGTTGGAAACAGATATACTATCTGATCTCTGGGGAGATGAAGAAGGAGCTGGAGGACAGTGCAGGAAATTTCTTTTGATTTATTTTGGTTCTTTTTCCCATTTATGGTAATAGGTATGGTTATGTATAAGTGTTTCCTTAATATAATATAGTTATTCTTCTTTAAAGGTGATGGGTAATATATGAATCTTAGTTGTTTTTTGAGTGGTAAGGCTACTACTGTGGAACGGTAGTTAAGGTTAAACTGGCACTACCGTTTTCTGGCCTAGTATCCTACTTAGCCGAAAGATGCCACGATATCTTACTCTGTGATGTTAAATGTCCAAAAGGATATCCGCCGCAGCTGCTTGTCCGATTTCAATAAAAACCTTTCTAGGATTTTACTGAAATCTGACAAAAGGGCAATTAAAAAAAAAGAGGACAAAAATACATATTTTTGCGAATGACCGGATGTTTAAGAAGTCCGGAAGTAGAAGAATATTTAGAAAAGCTGTTAATAAGATTATAATAGCGGTAACGATATTCAATATCCCAAATTAGTTATAATTCTTCTGCATATAGTCAATACATTTCATATTTTTCGCAGTTAATATGAAAAATAACGTAAATTGTATATTATGTTCTTCTACCGGTATTTTCATGTGTTCTTATACGTTCTCAAGAAGAGGAATCTTAAACACAATGATAAAGAGCAACTTTTTTTACTCTTGTGTCTTTCTTAATGTATCGTTTATTTTATTATAATTTTTGTAGAGAAATAGAATAGAATAGAATAGAATAAAAATAATATTGATATTATATACTAATATATATGTAATATTTCTGGAGGTAGGTATAGTTCTTATATGCAAAAATCCTGATTTCTCTTTACATTTTATCTTTTTATTTTAGCATGTATGACTCTTAATATGTATTTTTATATAATTTTCTATATAAACCGATACCTTAATGAATGGTTTCGTAAGCAACGGATTTGGCAAAAAGGTTCAATTAAATAGTCAGTAAGATACCCATGACATATTTATATAGGTTTAGAGTAAAAATCTACTTGTTTTAGCAATTTCAAAAAATTCGATAACAATGCCAAATATCAGGATGAACTCTTTTGAGTGACCAATCCGGTATGTTATATAGTGGTTGACTATATTCTTCAATTTGATTTAGTAGTTAATTATTAATTGATTAATTAAGTAAAACTTGGTGAGATTGGCACTAACTTTGAGATGAAACAGAATCTTAATAATGCTAGGTATATCTAAAATTTGAGCAAATCTTATTTACTTTTATTCGTGTATGATATAAATATACTAAGAATAGTAATAATCTACACAATGCGAGATTTAAGGCCCTTTTTTGACATTCTTCTTTGTGTGAAAAGTGCCGGTTTAAAAAAATTCTACATTACATAATTGACAGTTAGCTTCATCAATAAACTCCTAAACAGTAAGATATACCTATTTAGTCTTGTACTTGTTTAAAATGGTATGTAACAAGATGTAAACAATTATAATTAAACTGTTGCAGGTGTAAAAATAAAATTAAATAATCATCCTTAAGTATTTCTTAAAAATATTCTTTTGTATAAACCTAAGAAAAAACTGAAAATGTATGTTTTGCATAATAATAAATTATGTTTAATTTTTTAAATATTTTATTTATTGTATACTCACTGTATAAAATTTGTCAAAATTGAAGGCTTATGAAAAGTGCTTGATTTAATTCATTTATTTCATTTACCCTTTTTTTTAACTGATTAAGAAATTAATTGTTCACCTAAGTACAAAAAATATATATATATATATATATATATATATATATATATATATATATATATATATATATATATATATATATATATATATATATATATATATCAACAGTGGCAAAAAACCTAATTATCAAAATATGATACTATTTAACGTCATGTAAATAATATTATATTATACAGGGTGAGTCACGCTCAACGGGACGGAGCCTACCGGGAAAACGGCTGAAGATATTAAAAATTTCTTTTGCAGGAATACGTCCTGCAGGCTACAAATTAAAATTTGTGAGATATATACAGGGTGTCCCAATTTAACGTAATGATATAAACTTACACTTTTTTAAATGGAACAACATACATTTCACTTTAATTTTGAATTCTACTGAACAAAATAATGTTACTTTATTCAACATTCCCTATACCTATTTTTGACCGGTTTCGATTTATTTGGGTTTTTCTGAAAATGTACTATTCGCGAAATTAATTAATTACACAATATTGCATGAATTTTAATTAACGCCTTTTTGTCAGTTAATTGTCAAGTGTCCATGCTTTATATCAGAATAATTACCATTTGAAACTAATCTACAGAGTGTTCGCAATCTGAAGTGTCAATGCTGTACCATATTTTGTATAATTACTTTCTTAACTTAAATGGGACACCCTGTATTTTACTTTAATTTTGAATTCTAATTAAAAAAATAATATTACTTTATTAAACAATCCCTATACCTATCTTAGAGAATTTTCGATTTATTTGCGTTTTTTTGAAAATGCACTATGTATTCTTGAAATTAATTAATTTTTATCACTTATTACATAAAGTTCTACTCTAACTTAAACAAAAACCCCGTATTTGACTGTTGTAACAATTATTATAATTAAACTATTATAAAATTTTATATTAATATCTAGTATCTTCAAATCTATTTGCATTATGTTACCTGGAACATTAAATGTCATTAATTATATAGCTCGTTATTATAAATAATGCCATGAAAAAACAAAAGGTACCTAGCTGTCAAACTAATTGTCAAACTATTAACTGTATTGCTTTCAATTAAATTGAAATGGCAGATTATTCAATTGAAGACCGAGTAAATATGATTTTAATACTGGGTGAATGTGATCAAAACAGTTTGTTAGCATCAAGAGTCTATGCTGAGAGATTTCCCTTAAAACATCATCCTCGTAAAGAAATATTTGACAGAGTCTTAACAAGGTTTCGTGAAACTGGCAGTGTTGTTTATACTAAACGAAAATTAATAAATCCGATAACTGAAGATGAAAATACCGAATTAGAAGTTATTCAATCAGTTATTGAAAATCCAAATACAAGTACAAGGACGATGGCCAGGGAGATTGAAGTAAGCCAAACTAGTATATGCAGAATTCTTAAAAAATATCAATATCACTCATACCATATTCAAATGCATCATCATTTGTATGGAACTAATTTTGAACGTAGGTTAGAATTTTGTTTATGGTTTCTAGACAAAACGGGAGCAGATCAACATTTTTTTGATAAAATTTTGTTCACTGATGAATCTACTTTCCATAATAATGGACTCGTGAACCGACATAACTTTCACTATTATAATACGGAAAATCAACATGAATATAGATGTACTGATCGACAAAACCGATGGTCCCTTAATGTATACGGTGGAATAATAGGAGAACAAGTGATAGGACCGTATTTTTTTAATGGCCATTTAAATGGACAAAAGTTTTTAAGATTTCTACGAAGAGACTTTTGGAAACTTTTGCAAAATATCCCTTTAAATATTAGAAGAACAATGTTTCTGCAGCTAGACGGTGCTCCAGCACATTACACGCGTAACGTTAGAGAATATTTAGACAGAAAATTTGCCGGAAAGTGGATAGTTAGGGTGGTGCTGTCAATTGGCCACCTAGATCATCTGGGGTAACATCAATGGACTTTTTTTTGGGGATATATTAAAAGTTTGGTTTATCAAACTCCACCTACAACCGCTGAAGACATGAAAACGCGTATTCGTAATGCGTTTGCAACAGTTACTCCAAAAATGCTAAGAAGAGTAAAACAAAATTTTGAACACAGAGTAAGGTTATGTATTGAAGAAAATGGACACCATTTTGAACATTTAATGTAAATTAATTTTTTTCTAGTGTGTTTTGTTTAACTTTATGTAATAAAGTGTAATTAATTAATTTCAAGAATAGTGCATTTTCAAAAAAACCCAAATTAATCGAAAATTATAAAGAATAGGTATAGGGATTGTTTAATAAAGTAATATTGTTTTTTGATTAGAATTCAAAATTAAAGTAAAATACAGGGTGTCCCATTTAAGTTAAGAAAGTAATTACACAAACTATTCTACAGCATTGACACTTCGTATTGCGAACACTCTGTAGATTAATTTCAATTAGTAATTATTCTGATGTAAAGCATGGACACTTGAAAATTAATTGACAAAAAGGCGTTAATTATAATTGATGCGATATTGTGTAATTAATTAATTTCGCGAATACTACATTTTCAGAAAAACCCAAATAAATCGAAACCGGTCAAAAATAGGTATAGGGAATGTTGAATAAAGTAACATTATTTTGTTCAGTAGAATTCAAAATTAAAGTGAAATATAGGTTATTCCATTTAAAAAAGTATAAGTTTATATCATTACGCCAAAT